GCTAAAGAAGGACACCAGGCTTGGTGGAGTGGCAGTGACTCAGAGGAAGGCCCTGGGTGACGTGGATGGACACAGTGGCTGTGACGATGGGCTAAAGTGTGACGATTGTGACGTGCAGGACTGGTGGTGCCTTGTTTTGTTGTCTATGGGGTCCGCTATGAGTCCGGCCTGAATCTCTGGCACCTTTCAGACGGAAGAGGGGAGGTGGTCAGCCTTGGAGGATGGAATGTGCATGCTAATTCCCCTTCCCCAGGTAGATCCTGCTTTTTGAAACGCTCCCAATGGTACCTGGGTGGTACAACATCTGCACTATTTATCTTGTCCCCAAGTAAGATGGCCCTCCCCGAGCAGCTTCTATATCTGGCAGCCTGATGATTGGAATCAGCATCTAACTAATCATGCATATTAAACAGCTGCAATCACACTGGGATTTTACTACCTGGAGTGCTGTGGGGCTGGAAAAACATCTACTGCTGAAGCCCAGCCTGCAACAAAGGTACAGATGTTCCAGGTCCTGAGCTCCCTCCGAAGGGCGGCATTTCGAGGCCTTTGAGAATTTACTAGAAGGGCAGCTTGTGGAATTGGAACCATTGTGCTTTTAAAGAAAATGGATGATGAGAGGCCCAGAAGATAATAATCTTGGGTCTCAGTCCCTCATCCCCCAGGGCTCTTAGCTTCCCCCAGAGACTCCAGAGATTCCTGGGGTGTCTCAGTCCCCTTACCTCCTTCTGCAGCCCCGTGCCTGGACCACACTCCTGGCTGCGATTGCCTGTGTTTTCCCTCCACGACACAATCTGGCTGATTAATGGGACTGCTGTATGGGGTACCTCTCAGATCTGTGCTGGGGTTGAGCCAGCAGACATCTCCAAATTGCCGGGGTGGTCCCAGGGAGAATGGGGGAAATCTTTCTGGGGTTTTGGGGACCAGAATCCCGCTCCCCTGAGGGTAAGACCTACAATCTTGGGCCATAAGCAGACGGTCAGTGCAACCGCTCTAAGCGGCAACAATTGCCTGTCACACCGCCAGGAACTCCAGGCTCCCTCAGGCCTATGCAATCTCCTTGCTAAATGGGGGTTCCGACTCGCAGCCAGGGTAACCCCGCCTGGTGCAGCACCATCCTCCATCGTCGTTGTGTTGGAGCCACTGTGCAAGTTCATCTCGTGGAGGGCTGCCTCGTTGTCACTAGTCCTGTACTTACAGCGGCTGGCAACGTCGTCGTCTTCTGAGAATCACCTGGTGGGTTCAAACTGCTGACCTTGAAATGAGCAGCTCAGAGCATAACGTAGGATGCCACCAGGGCTCCTGTTCCATCCAGTTATACAGGTGTGATTATATGTGTGTCTTGCATGCTTTGGACATGTTGTCGGGAGAGACAAGACCCTGGAGGACAGTATCTTTGCCGAGGGACATGGAAACAGGAACACCCTCGACGAGATGGATGGGTACAGTGGCTGCGACGATGGGCTCAAGCACGGGCACAATTGTGAGGAGGGTGCCGCCGGGCCAGGCAGTGTTTTGTTCTGCTGAACATCAGGCTTCTAGGAGCCAATCGATGACAACTAGGAACAATCTAGTGGGAGCTCCGGGGGCGGCGTGGTTACGCGTTAGGCAGTTAACCCCACTCCTGGGAGAAAGGTGGGGCTGTCTGCTCCTGCAAAGATCCTTAGTCTTGGGAACCCTGTTTAGGGCCACTGTGAGTTAGCATTGAGTCCAGGGCAGTGGGTCTGGTGTGTGGGGTTATGTGTACACACCATGAGCCCTGGTATATGTGGGTTATGTGTACATGCCGTGAACCCTGATGTGT